GATACAATTAATATAAGAGATCGAATTAAGACGTTAATTAGCTGCTGCGGCTGCGTGACCCGACATACTCCCACCGTTGGAAGCCTGAGTTTTAACATCATCCTTAAGGGGTAGCAGACACAGCTTGATTACTGCTCGCTTTGTCACTCCTGATGCTGTCTTCAGAACGGCAACTCGAGCAACCCCATCTCCGCCGAACAGAAGCTCGATCACTCTGGCGAGGAGCCACTTAATGGGAGGCAAGTTTTCGTCCTTGACCAGTATTGACAAGTATTCTTCCTTCCATCGGGACCAAAATATCTGCTGCAAGTAGGCCACGCCTTGCCATCCATCCAAGCTATTGAAGTTAAGAGTTAAGTTAAGTCATATCCGGCTCGACGAAAGAGGAAGGCGAAGTACCATTCAAAAAATGTGCTTGGGTTAATACATCCAGATTAGCGGGGTTTTCTGAAATCGAGACTTATGGTCGAGAATTAACAACCTCCAAAATGTGACACACCAGGGTTTGCAACTCCTCAAAGGCTAAAACAGCAGTGCCACCAGCGCGGTAGATATGATGCTTAGCGATCTTCACAGCCGCTTCCCAAAGACCGCCAAAGTGTGGCGACCCAGGAGGAATAAAACACCTCAGCTAGGCAAAAGTCAAATGTAGCTCTCTGATGATCATTCCTGAGGGATAGGCGCCTTACTTTGAGCAGCTCATTGCCGCATCCTTCTTCTAGTGCATATAAATCGCTTGAGGCCATGTAGAAACGACACCGTAGAGAGATCCTTGATCAACTCCAAATGAATAGCCTTTGTGGCGAAACAAACGAAGACACACACTTAGCATTTTACTGGAGGCTTGCTTCGCACCTCTGACTTGTAGAGAAATGGCCCGCAAAAGTCAATGCCAGTGACTTCGAATGCATGAGATCCATCAAGTCGTTCCTTTGGAAGATGCGCCATTATATGCTCCGTTACTCGAGGCTTCATTCAAAAGCGTCTAGTACATTTGTTTACTGTCTTCATCACTTCATCACTGAAAATTCTTTGATGGGCAGCAAAAGAATTGGCAAATTTTGAACTGGCCACTATGTCTTCGAATGGAGATTTTATTAGTAGAATCCTCCAGCAATGATTGGGGTCGGCCAGTCAGCTTTAGGGCCACAAAGGAATTTTGGTCCATGAGCCCAGAGAGGAGACTCGTTGAGCTCAGCAGGAAAGGAAGCTCGGGAGAGAATGTCGTCAGGATTTAAAGAAGATGGAACATATCGCCAGTCCACTGACTCAGTTAGCTCTTGGATGGCAGCTACTCGATTCGCTACAGAAATATTGAATCTGGACGGCTCGTCTCGGATCCATGAAAGCGCAACAGCAGAGTCGCTCCAGCAGTACAACTTTCCCTCAAATGCACTCGTCCTGGCCACTTCTGCGATGAGCCTAGACAGGAGTTCAGCCCCACAAAGTTCCAGCTTGAGCACAGTGAGTGTTTTAAGGGGGCCACCCTTGACTTTGAGCATAGTAATTAAGATCCCCCGTTGCAAACGATGTAGACACAGGCACCATATGCTTCTTTGCTAGCATCACAAAATCCATGAATCTCACTCTCAGAGTTTGGAGAAAGAACCAGCCGAAAAAATGACGTATGCCTAATCTGCCCAAAACTCGTGCATATAGCACTCCATTCCGTGTTCTGTGACTCAGGAAGGCTTTCATCCCAGGATATCTTCTCCTTGCACAGTTGCTGAAGGAAAATTTTCGATTTTGTGATCACAGGTCCGGTAAATCCGCGCTATTGGAGACAGGACAGATCGCCTGCAGGGGCTTGATGCTGACTGTAAGACCGAAAAGGAAAACAATAGTTGGTCAGAAACTGGATCCCAAGCGAGAGCTAGGATTTTTGCCAAATCAGTGCCATCATCAAACTTCAAATAAGACTCCTTATCCTTGTCTGCAACTCCAACCAAAACAGCTGACACATTCGAACACCACTTTCTAAGCTTAAATTTTCCCTTGGCTAGAAGTTTTGATGCCTGATCCATAATGATGACTGCCTCTTCCTTGGATTTGGCTCCAGATATCAAATTATCCACCTAAAAATCGCGACTAATGACCTCAGCCCCAAGCGGAAACGCTGTATGCTCGTCTGCTGACAACTGATGCATAGCTCGGACAGCCAGAAATGATGCTGGCTTCGTGCCATAAGTAACGGTATCTAGCTTAATCACCCGCTTTTGTTCCTGGGGGGTATCCCGCCACGATTCAACTTTCTCTCTAGGGACAAGAATCTTCGATAAGCTTGTTGGTAGGACTCTCCCAAGAGATCTAGATTGAGTTTGGCAGGCAGACGAACAGAATAATACCCAGCTGGCAAACGATCGACGTGTCTTGCGAAATGTGCTGCACAGTCCAATTCTTTCTTAGTAGCGCGTATAGTTGGCTCGCCGCAGCTTTCCACTTCCCAAAATCGTCGATGAAGATCATCTTACCGATCGAAACTATTCTCTCTACTAGCGAGAGGTACATCTTGAGCCGACATTAAGGACGAGCCATTGGAAAGGCCATAATCTCCAGAAACAACGCAACCCAGACGCGTCTTTTGAATTAGTCCAGGTGAGAGCTTGATTTGGCCAACGCACAACATCTCGTAAAAGAGGCTGGCTCCGATTAAAAGGTCCACTCGCTGGGGAGTATAAACCTTGGATCAGCTTTAGGTATGTTCCAGTTGCCGATGTCGGCGTTGAAGCTAGGATGTCGCCCTGTTATGTTATGCAATCACCGCGGTAATGTTGGCTGAGTATTCGGAAGTTCGGGACTGAATCGTAATATTAACCGAGTGACAATCCGTCACAAAACTGGAATCTCCTATTCCAGTTACATATGCTGAAGATTTTATTTTCTTTCTTTGAAGCTGACTTGCGAATCAGGTCGTGAATAGATGCAGTTGGGAGCCCGAACTGAGTAGAGCTCGACAGGGAACGAAAACCCCGAAATCGCTAGCCGTTGCTAAGAGCATAATATTATTACTAAAATCTTGTGCAACAAGAGCAATCGAAAGGGAAGGCAGTGCAGAGGGTGAGGCAGAGGGAAGTGTTTCTTGAAGCTGTGCTCCTTCTTGTGAAGAAAAGGAAGCTAAGTTTCCCAGGTGAAGCAGGATGTGGTGCCTAGATCCGCATGAACGACGATTACTGGAATTGCATTGACTAACTTGATGCCCAACCTTAAGACAATTTATGCAAAGACCGAGCCGTTTCGCTAATTTTTCTAATTTTTCGACTTGTCATAAATTGGGTTACTTATTTGATTAACCTACAGGCCCACAGCCTTTCTCAAGTGCTTTTTCAAAGTCAAGAGATATAAATGAGGCGTGCCTTTTTTCTGAGAGGTCCTTGTTGATCAGAGAGTCTACATATAGTAGACAGTCTGTCACAGATTTCCCCTTTTTAAACCCAACTTGACGACTGTTCAGAAGTTTGTTGGAAGTAACAAACCACCAGAGCCGTTTAGAGATGATTTTAACGCAAGTTCGTGAGATACATGGGTTAAGGGAAATGGGTCTATATGATTCAATAATGGTTTTGTCTTTGCTAGGTCTATGAATTGGGAATGTTGAACTATTATGCTTTTATATTAGTTAATGCTAAATTAAAAATTAAAAAAATTAAAAATTTCGGGTGTCTTTATGTTTGTTAACAATTTCTTAGCGATAAAGAGTACAGCAGGCGAGACGAGAGTGCATTTAATGTCGAGATCAGAATTCGTACTGATTTTACAAAGGGACAGCCAGCCGAATGCTGGCTGCAAGTACACAAAAATGAGCGAGCTAGATAGAGAGAGATACCTTTCGCGATGCAATAAATATAAGAGATCGAATTAAGACGTTAATTAGCTGCTGCGGCTGCGTGACCTGACAGCGTCCACTATAAATAGCCGCAGAAATAAAAATCTGCAGTGATGTTCCGATCACAGTACCTAAACGCCTAAAGTCATGTTTTAAATGTCGTTGGAAAGATAAACTTAAGATAAAAAACTTCAATTTTACATTATTATTCTAACCAAAATTTCTGCAATATTAGAGCTAAATATTATTAATTAGTATAAGTAATTAGTAAATTAATTTATATTAGCCACTTACACCGATTTTACTTTCAAATTTATGTAGGTATGGACAAAAAGCAATAAAACGCCAAAACACATTTTTGAAAAAGGTAATCTAGGAAGTAAAAACGCCCACAAGGGCGATTAGGAGTTCTGTAGGCAGTGTGGAGCGGCAGTTTTCTCTAGATGTCTACATCTCGCTCGCTCGCACTGCGCTCCGCTCTCCCTCTCCATCTCTCCCTTAAGTCTCCGCTCCGCTCTAGAGCGCTTTAGTTAAGCTAAGCTTAAGTAGTTTCAATATTCAAGTCGCGCATCAACCCGAAAGTATTTCCGTGTTTTTCGTATTTTCTTTCAGCGATCAAGCCACCCCCTTCCCCAAATTTTGGTCCAGTCGAACCGGATTTCACAATCTTTGGATTTTCCTGGCGTTTCCTTTATTTTGTTCAGTGGTTCGGACTGCTTCAGATAAGCTCCACAAATTATTATTATTGACCGGTCATACAACCAGTTTATCGAACCCTATTTCGACTAATTTTCTGTATATAATATTGTCTATTTAATTATATGCATTTAATATATGCATTTTATTTAACATAAAGTATATATATTTTTGATCAGGATCACTAGCCGTGTCGATCTGGCCTTGACCGTCTGTCTGTTCGTCCGGATGAACGCTGAGATCTCGGAAACTATAAGAACTAAGCTATTGGGATTAGGCATGCAGATTCCTGAGCTTCTTACGCAGCGCATAATGCCTAAATCTGTCTACCGCCAACATAACCATATATTGAGATCACGGGTAGGTGGCGCATTTCAATCTCGCCTTGCTACTTGCATATCTCCATTTCCCTTTGGTCCCTTTAGCTGAGTAACGGGTATCTGATAGTCGAGGTACTCGACTATAGCGTTCTTCCTTGTTTTTTACTGTGTTCCAGCTGCGTGCTTATATTTACATAAAAGAAAGTATATATAAGCTGTCGTAGAAGTTTGGTACGAAAGCCACCCGCGCATCAACAGTTAATCATCAGTTAATGTCAACAAATCGCGGTGCCTAAGTAGTCTGCACATGTTGAAGTTTATCCCGTATCGTTGCTGACGTGGATAAAATAAAACTATTTTCCTCGCGTCGAAAAAATCCACTCAAATCACATAAGACCACTGAAAGCGTCGAAAAAACTGAGGAAAACGGCAAATGGCGGAAAACTCTACCTTGAGTCCAGAAAGCGTGATACTACAAAGCCAAGAACTAGAGGTGGACCAGGCCAGCTGTTGTCGCCATTCACGCTGCACGATCACACTACCGTTGAAGTATGACTGCTAAAAGAGGTCGTGTTGTAGCAGCTAGCTCATTTTTCGTCTAATATATCCATTTTTAAATTCTAACTACCTATACATGCCACCACCAGCAAAGAGAACCAAGGAAAAAACTTCTACTGAGCTAAGTCCTCCAGCAGATGGGCCTTGGAAAAGAATTTCAGAAGTTTGCTGAACAAACGGACTTTTTTAAAGCCAATATGGCTGAACTGTAGAATCGCATCACGACGTTATTAACAGTGATATGTCGGAACTCATGAAAAGAGTCGAGCGTTTGAAGAGTGAGGTCGCGGAAACTCGGGCCTTGCGAGACCAAGTCAATCGCCTAAAGTCTGCATCTGAGTTGTAGCTGTACCATTTAATCAAGGCGAAGATGTGAGGGATTGTTTCACATCCTTTGCTTTAACTTTAAAGTTACTCCTACCCCAAGAATTCGAGATATCTTCCGGATAAAACCCCCTAGAAACGGTCGTTCTGTAGTTGACCCTATAATAATGATCAAGTTCGATAGACCTGAAGACAAGGTTAACCCGATGCGTAACGTGGATGCACTTCGGCGTGAAACGAAAAGCCAGCTTTCTCTATGTTACGTTGGTATAGATTCGCCCACGCCAATCTTTCTAAACGAACAGTTGACTAAAACAAACTACGAGATTTTTAAAGCAGCCATGCACATTAAGCGTCGTCGAGCAACAGTCCACTTAAAGAAGACGGGCAGTGATGAGGTCCTATACATTGAGAACATGAAGGCCCTTAACGACATTAATCCTGATCTGCTAAAAACACCTAATTTATTTCGTTATTGCAGCTCATAAATGTTCTAAATGTTCATTTTAAGGTACTATTTGTTCTACTTATATTTACTTTCAACTGCAATTCGTCGTACTCTTGATATATGTCTGTCATAAGCGCGCAAAGCCTGACTATTAAGATCGATGAGTACCTATTCGAAAAATCAAAAGTCGATATCATCGGTGTTTCCGAAACATCCGATATTAGTAGTTCATATATTCGTTTTGCTGACTATAATCTGCTTCGTTCTGATAGAGTATATCATGCCGGTGGTGTTGCTATTTTTGTCCGTAAACAATTTAAATGTAAAGTTTTGTGTCAGCAAACGTCAGAGTGCAATAGAATACTTACTTGTAGAAGTACTTGGAACAAATTCTCAAAACATTATTATTGGCTGGGCCTATACCCAAATCTACTTGCCAATCTGACTGCCCTAACATGGACTTATACAAATTTTGTTATAAACGGAGATTTCAACAGTGATCTTTTAGCTGAATCTAGTCTCTGCACAGAACTATTATCACTTGGAATTCAGCCAGCAAATGTCACAGCCTTGTCAAAATCCTCACAACCCTTGACGCATTTTTTGGGGATGACGCAAGTAAAATCCTTTTATATGACAAGGTATCTGTACAAGTTTACTCGCGGCATGATCTTATATACAAGACGTATAGCATAGAATTAGGCGCTGAGGAAAACTCCATAACTTATCAGGCCTTAAAAGATATAAACTATACGCTACTGGACTCAGAATTTAACTCTTTTAGCTGGCAAGCATTGTATACAATTCCCGATGATGATTCACAGATAGAGTTCTTTAACAGTAATATTGAGCTTCTATACAACAAATATGTACCTCTCAGGACAAAAAAAATTAAGCCGAAGAAGAAACCATGGATAAGCATGGAAATAAAAAATACTATGAATGCGTGTTCAAACTCAACGATATTCCGCTATTCGCACTCCACATATGTACATTGTACATACATAGGCACATCTTCGTTTTCTCCAGCGCACAGTGGGTCAAGGGCTAACAATAGATGCTAGTTTCAAACAAGCAAAAATAAAAACATAATTAAAAAAAACCCAAAATTCTTGCCTATCTAAGCGCCAGTGTGACCAGACTTCGATTGGTTCCTAAATTCCAATTTATTTCTTGCCCGAATCCCTTTCTTACTTGCTTTATCAGCAAAATCCGCTCTAAAACAATTTATTGCCACAGTCGACTCCCTGACACAGTTTGAGGCCAGTATAAACGTTTCAGGTGCCTCCACGCCAACTTTATCCGCCTGTAAAGTCCGTTGCGATCATTTCAATTCCTTCTGGAAAATGGTAAAAGGAGGATATTTCATATGATGCTCCAAATAAGTTGGTGGTGGTTGGGTTTGATTAATTTAATTTAATGGAAATACCAAACAATGCGTCTTCGCTCTTCGAGGTTCAAATCTTAACTGTTGTTTATTTGACAATTCGGTTATAAGTTAATACAGAATTCGCTGACGGTGCTGTTGGCATGTGGTGGGGGAACCGTTGAGTAAGCAGGCGATGCAGATCACACTTAGCGTCAATATACGAACTAGAGTATACGTTGTTGCCATGTGTATTGTTGTCCACAGTTGCACCCTGTCGATTTCCATATTAGTTTTGATATCCTCCATTTTTAGTTCGTGGATTCCCAATTCCTTCGTTGTTCTATTCTTTAAAGTTTCGATTTTGGGAATCTCTACCTTTGGATTTTCTGCATTCAAGCGTTCTACTGCTACGTATCGCACGTTTTTGACTGTCACCTTGCAACGCTTATCATTAACGCTTATCAACGCCGAGCCATCGATTGTCCTTTTCGGACCGCAGATTGATTGTACACTGACTTTTTCGCCGTTAAACACCGCAATATGACCTGGCTCCGGCTCGAACATCTCCTGAAATCCTGTGTCCTCCGTTTCGCACTCTACCGCTTCTCCGACTATTACGTTCCTCAGGCACCTTTTACCTCCGTCATTTATATTTTGCTGCTTTCGTGTAATGACAAAATTGATTCTTAAAATAGGCTAACAATTTTGGTGTTACTACAAATTCCGTCTTATTTAAAGGTAGAGGTAGAATTCTTTTGAAGATATACATTTATTTTTCAAATATTGGAAGTACCAATGAGAATATAATATCTGTCCCATTCATATACATTATACAGCCTCCCTTCTCCGGAAGCTTTCCCTAGGCGAGATCGGAGAACGCGCCCCGGGTGACGGGGTCTGCTTTCCCATCTTCGGGAATTCCTGCAGTTGACGGGGTCGATCCTGACCTTTTCCTTTTCCCCCCTCCTTTAGAACGACCCTAAAGTAGTCTTCGTCCGTTATCCTGTCTGTCTTGAAATAGAAACATTTTCTGTGAAGCGACCTTGGCGTGACCAAGTTTCATCCCAGCTCTAGTACTACTTTAAAGAATGGCGCCCGAACATGGACTAGATAGGATATGTTAAGGATAATTCCATCCATCGTGGCTAAAAGCACCATCAGTAAAAAAATTCGGAGTCGAAAGAAAAAAGGTTAGGGTCGGAAATCCAGGGAAGCATCAGTTGGTAGGCCAGTTTTGCTCTTTTAAAAAGCAAGGAAAATAGTATGAAGAAGAAACGGGAAAAGGTACAGCCGCGACGTACAGTCAGATCCGACGACGAGAGCACGTGACACACGAAGCCGAACCGACACGAAGTTACGAACAACCCGACACGAAGTTGCGCTAGAAACAACGACAAAAGTACACGAAGCAAAGAAAAAAAATAAAAGGACACAATACAAAGTCGACGCCGCAGCCGCCATCCGGTACAAAAAAAAAGAAACATAGTTTTCTATCCCTGTCGCACACATGGTTTCTCTTACCAAGTAGGAAGCCCGAAGCCAGCCGACTTCAAGTACATAAACCGTCGTCCCCACGAATCGAGATCATTCGATTCCTATCGCTACGAGAGCGAACATAATCTTGCTGCATCGCTACAAGGACACGCCTCAAGGATCACTGCGAGGATACACCAGGACCTGCTGAATCGCTACAAGGACACGCCTCAAGGATCACTGCAAGGATACACCAGGACCTGCTGCATCGCGACAAGGACACGCCTCAAGGATATTAACTAAATCGCTACCAGGATCCTAAAGGACGCAACGCTTTAGGGATACAACCTTCAACTCTCGCTCTGAAAACGCGCATTCTGATCCGCCTTCGCGAAACCACATCAGGATACGCGTCGATCACTACTCATTTTCCTAGGCACGCCTACGAAGCCACCCACCCCGTCGGCATCCAACGCGGTGAGCCCTCGCTTCCAACGGTAAAATGGGTGTTACCTGGATATCATATCGGAAGAAGCACGAACTCGACGCAATCCTACTCGAGCTTGGCCTCGAACTCACCGGTACGGTCGAGGAGCAACGATCCCGGCTCTACGCGTTCGTACGGCAACCTGGACTCCCGGACGCGGTCCGGCCACGGCTCGGAGAAATGGAGCTAAAGTATGGAAATTCCCCATCCGGGGACTCCAAGCCATCGTCGCCGTTACCTCCGGATTTCGAGTCGAGCGTCGGCACGGCATCTACGCACACGATTGCTCCGGCCGCGGGCCACACCCTAACGGTGCCACGCAATACGTCGCCAGCACCACGCGGGATACCAGGATCACCACGCGGCACAACCTCCCAGTTCGACGCGGCCGTGTGCTCCATGTTGGTCGACAAAATGACCAAGTGGGGATTGTCTTTCGACGGCACGTCAGTCCCGCTCAGCTTCGTTGAACACATGGAGGAACGGGCGAATACCTACCGCATCGACCAGAAATATTTGTCCCACGCTATTGTCGTAGTCTTGACTGGCCGAGCCGAGAGCTGGTTTCGCACCAGTGGACTCCAGGGTCCTGGACAGAGGTCCGTCGGAAATTTCTGGATTTCTTTTTACCGCCCAGGTATTATCAACGGCTCGACGACGAAATCCGCTCGCATTTCCAAGGGGCGAACGAACCGTTCAAGGAACACCTCGTCGATCTTCGCCTTCAGATGCGCTGCGCTGGATTCTCACCAGAAGAAGAGTAGGAGCGTGTGTGTGAAAACATGCTACCAGAGTTAGAGCTGCAAAAAAATCGATGGTACCATCGATATTATCGATGGTTGGCCGCCGGTGACCGACTTCGATATTTTTCAGACTATCACGATAGTTTATCAAAAAATTCCCATCACTTGGATTTCGAACTAATAAGAAGGAACGCACATTTTGCATACGGAAAATTTAATATACTCGTATACTAATTTTCTCTCGTATTCGACAGATATATTCAAATTCTTGTGGTTCCGGTGTTGTGGTTCCTTAAAAATGGATGACGGTGCAAAAAGTAAGTGGATAACAAAGATATAAAGAGACTAAATTCACATATATTCTTCATGAAACTATAGGTGGAGACGAGGATGTGGAGGACGTGAAGCAGTCGCTAAAAAAGGTCAACAGACTTGGAAGTTCGGTGTGGGATCTCTTTGAGAAGGGCAAAGATAAAAAGACAGCCAAACGCCGTATATGCAAGAAGGTGTACAAGACAAGTGGAAACACCAGCAACCTTGCTGATCATCTCAAGAGATTCCACCCGACCCAAAATCAGTATCAGCCAGCACAAGCGACCGTCAAAATTTTTTTTACAAATGATGAGTACGACAGCAAGTCTTTGCGAAAAGCAAGCCTTGACACGGCGTTGATGCAGATGATTGCAAAGGATATTCAACCGTTTTCTATTGTAGATGACCAAGGGTTTAGGAACTTCGTGAAAGTGTTGGATCCGCGCTGTACTTTGCCGTGACGCACGACTTTGCAAAACGTACAACTGCAAAACATTTACTCGGAGATGACTGTAAAACTGCAGACCATTCTTGTTAATGTCGATCAGTGCGCAATTACAATGGACTGCTGGACAAGCAAGGCCAACACAGGTTATTTGACCATTACGGTGCACTTCATTGACGAAAAGTTCCAGCTGAGATCGGCAGTGTTGTCAACGCAGCCACTCCTATGTGCAACAAACCATTCTGCTGACAACATCGCATCATCATTGCGCGCAGAACTGATTAACTGGAATCTGTTGCCAAAAGTTTGCGCCATATTATCAAATAATGCTAGCAGCATGATAAAGGCATGTGAGCTGCTCGAAAAGAGACATCTGCCGTGCTATGCGCATTGCCTAAACCTCGTTGCACAGAACTCGCTTTCTATAAAATCAATTCAAACTATTTTGACTAAATGCAAACGTGTCACATTTTTCAAATTCAGCTCTATCGCCTACGAGAAGTTTAAGAAAGCGTAAGGAGTCGACAATCCGTACAGCTTAATTCAAGAGGTATGTACCCGCTGGAACAGCGCGTTCAAAATGGTAGAGCGCATACTGTTGACCAAGGAGTATATTTCTCCCGTTCTTGTAAGCTTGTCCAAGGCGCCGGAGCCCCTGACAGCAGACGATCTTGCGGTCTTGGAGGATATAAAGTACTTACTGGCTCCTTTCGATGAAGTTACAACTCAATTATCTTCGAGTACAAAAGTTACTGTATCATGCGTAATACCCACATCGAATGGACTTGTGCAGAGTTTGTACGAAAAAAGAGAGCAGTTAAGAACAAAAGAAGGCGAAGAACTGTGCGCACTTTTAATTGAGAAGTGTAAGAAACGACTGTTTCCCTTTGAAGAAAGGTCCTCCCCTCGTTTGGCTACAATTTTAGACCCTCGGTTTAAGAAAGAGGGTTTCAGGTCCCACTTTAATGCGGAGCAAGCCGTATCTATACTTGAAAAAAACATTTCTTCTCCCCATACCAACAAGGAACCCATTTTAACCACCGAACCACCGGAACCACCAAAGCCGAACTCTTCGCTACTCAATTTTGTAAAAAAAAATATAGAATTGAAACAGAGGTCCAACAAAGTTGAGTCCATAATACAGATAAGGCAGTATTTCGAGAAAATGAACATTGATGAAAATCAGGACCCATTGGAGTATTGGAAGGTAAGTTAATAAAAGGTTTAAGTATTATTCTTTAAAATTTTTATAACTGCAGCAACATGAATTAGAGATGCCCCAACTGGCTATAAGCGCTAAGCAGGGGCTCTGCATTCCGGCAACCTCGACGGAATCGAAAAGGATGTTTTCCAAGGCGGGCCTAACAATCTCTGATCGACGGGCGTCACTGAAGCCAAAAACCGTTAACAAAATGTTATTTGTTAACAAAAATTGGGTTTTAACCAAAGAAATGTGATTTAATTTCTCCTTCCAAATATGTACTAAAAAAGATCAAACTTGAATTTAAACTAATTGCGTTTTTAATTGTCAATAATTGAAAATGGAAATTTCCATAATTGCTCAACTTTCATAAAATAATTTTTTTCTTAAGGAATACCCCTATTATATTGCTTTTACATGAATACCCTTAATGTTTATATTTGAGTGATATTATCGCGATAGTATCGAGGTTTAGTCCACAAACTATCAAAACTATCGATGGGGCTACCATCGATGTTTTTGCAGCTCTAACCTGAGTACCAGATATTCAAGCGCCCCCAAGACTTTCGGACGTTGACCGAACTCACCCACCTGGTTGTCGCCCGTAGCCGAGGAGGCCGGACTAGCCGAGGATATATGGACACCGAGAACGCATCTGATCGCGCCCGCGGAATGTACCTAATGACGCCATCAGACAGAACGTTGCACGGAACCAGGGTCAGCGGCCCCGAGCCTCGGGAGAAGCGATTGATGTCAGCACCTCCTGCCGAAACTGCGGCCAGGCTGTTCACTACGCTACGGAATGCCGGAATCCCAGAGTAATCTTTTGCTGGGACTGCGGCCGACGCGATCTGCGGACCATCGACTGCTGTCGGAAACAAGGATCGGAAAACGGGCAAGGGCCTCGAGTATCCGGGAGTTATCCGAGGAACCCACCGATCCCACAGAGACAGTAACCAACCCATTCGTACGGGATCAGGGTCACGGTCGATGGGCACTCCCTCAGCGCTATATTGGATACGGGGGCCTCGCACAGCTTCGTAAACAAACGCCTAGCGAGGAAGTTAGACAACGGGAGAAATCTTCGAACCATACGCTCTCAGGTGAAATTAGCCGAAGAAACCGGTAGGGAACTGACACGGGCCCTGAGGGCAGCAGTCCAATTAGGAGAAGCAAGGGTCATCATTTCCATCCTCATCATGCCGGACGTACTGGATGACCTTCTTCTAGACATGGATTTCTTATGCAGCAGCGGAGCAACGCTTCAATGTGGAGGCCAGGCCCTTACACTGCGGCCCTCCGCCAGAACCAGATCCGTGGCGCCCCGCGAAACGAACCCAGACCTCGCACGGACGCAACCAGAGCAGCAGGAGAACCACGACGAAGCCGTCGCACGGACACCAACAGAGCAGCAGGAGAACTACGGCAACACAGACAATACAAAGCTCCACAAGTACCGCAAGAAAACCATCGACAAACCGCTCCTAGGGCACGTACAGAGAACCGCCAGCGCACAACCCCACGGGTACCGCCCGGTAACTACAGGGCGCGTCCAAGCCGTAGGAACCCGGCAGCTCCGATCACTGACGTGGAACTGGGAGCAACCACGACCTGGGCCACAGCGTTACCCGCTCCTGACGCTTCAGCCGTCCAAACCCTTTTCGCCGCGCGGCAAGGAATCCGGCTATGAGAGCGGACCTTAAAAATGGGTACTGGCAGATTCCAGTAGCGCCCGCCAGCCGTGAGTACACCGCATTCACAGTTCCAGGCCGGGGCTTATTTCACTGGAAGGTTACATTTGGCACCGGTAACCTCTCAGCGAGTCCTGGATACTGTCATCTGCCCGGACATGGAACCGCATGCTTTCGCATAATTAGACGATATCATCGTAATCGGGACCACACTCAAGGAGCATGTCCGGTTGAATCGAGACAAGTGCCAGTTTTTCCAGCGAAGCTTGAGGTACCTAGGCCACGTTATCAGCGAAGCCGGGATACAAACCGACCCTGATAAGGTCGCAGCCATCCGAGAACTGACACCGCCGACGAACCTAAGGGAGCTTCACCGATGTCTTGGGATATCTTCCTGGTACCGTCGCTTCGTTCCCAACTTTGCGGACGTAGTCGAGCCGATGACATCTCTACTTAAGAAGGATCGGAAATGGGAGTGGACAAAGAAGCAGGAGCAGGCCTTTCAAGGATTGAAGACTTTGCTGACCGAGGCTCCGATCTTAGCAAGTCCAGACTTCGAGGCGAAGTTCGTGATTCAAACCGACGCGAGTGAATATGGTGTAGGGGCAGTACTTACCCAATCCATCAACTGGCAAGAACGGGTGATCGCGTATGCCAGCCGCCGGCTGAGCACGGCGGAGCGCAACTATTCCGTGACGGAGAAAGAGTGCCGGGCGATCGTGTGGGCCGTCCGCAAGATGCGCTGCTACGTCGAGGGATACCGCTTTGAGGTACTCACCGACCACCACTCGCTAAAGTGGCTGAATTCGATCGACAACCACACGGGCAGGATCGCTATCGATATCAACTACCGCTGCGGAGCCCAGAACCTGGTCGCCGACGCCCTATCACGCCAACCTCTGGTAACGAATTAGCAAGTGCAGATACAAGGCAACAAGTGCCAGTGGATAAACAAAATGCTACGACGAATGCGGCAGGAGCCCGCCAAGTTTCTAGACTTTCGAGAGGATAACGGACAACTCTATCGGCGCATTGGTCTGCGCCCGAAAGAGGAAGAATACACGCCTTGAAAACTATGCCTAGAAACGCAATACCGCCGGAGAGTGCTGGAGGACTGCCACGATCATCCCACTTCTGGACACCTAGGAGTCCGCAAGACAAGCACACTGGAGGCTCAACAGTACTACTGGCCGGGATTGTTCCGAGAAGTGGCCCACTACGTATGAAGATGTCCTAGTTGTCAGAGGTTTAAGGTGAGTCAGGAGAAGCCAGCCGGAAAGATGTTTACGCGGCAAGTCGACGAACCGTTCCACGTTTTGTATGCCGACTTTGTTGTGCCATTACCACGTTGAGCCTCTTCGGGACCCCGAGGACCTTCATCTGTGATAATGGAACACAATTCACGATCCGAGCATTTCAAGCATTTTGCAAGTCCCTGGGAACGGAGTTACAGCACACCGCACCCTACACGCCACATCAGAGTCCAAGGAACGGGCGAATCGAACCGTGAAGGCGATGATAGCACAGTATCTCGGAGACACACCGCAGAGCAGCTGGGACCACCTGCTCCCGGAGATCTCGCTGGCCGTAAAGAGCAGCGTGTCGGACACCACGGGATTTAGCCCGGCTTTTCTCGTGCAAGGGCGGGAGCCGCGTCTACCCAACGCTCTGCATTCCGAAGTTACGCAGGGAAGAGGAACTGCGCAGGTCCCACCTACAGAGAGGAGGGAGCAGCTCCATAACATCTTCAAGGTCGCCAGGGAAACGCGGAACGAGCCACAGCGGAGCAGGGCAGACACTAACTGCGGCGACGGGTGTGGAAACCACCACTAGGATCGCTGGTACTAGTACGCCGCCACGCCTTGTCAAACGCCGCCGAGGGTTTTGCCGAGTCATAAAATTTCCGTCCCCAAATATCGTCAGCTTACAGATCCCAGGAAGCCGACGCTGCCGCACCGCCAGTTTAAGAAACCTGAAACCATATCACCAGGATGAGGACGACGACGACCACGACAGGGACCATGAGTCAGAAAGAGTCGGCGAAACCGCAAACAACCAGGATGACCACCACAGTCGTGCCCCGTCCGAGGAGACCAGGGTGTCTTGGGGGTCACTTGCCGATGAGCGCACTCGTCCAGCGTCCCCACCCCCCCATTGGGGGAGCCGACCACCCGGTCGGCTCTCCTCGACCCGGGCACAATCACCAAAAATCCAGCATCCGCTAAAATTAACACCTGGACGACCGAGGAATACAGGAGACGAGGCTGGGAGCCGCTCTCCGCACGACAAGCACCCAGAAAGTACTCACGTTATACATTCTCCACAGCTCAAAATCCGATTATCAAGAGTCCATTTCAAGATACATTAGAGGAAGAGAGTTTGATAATGCCACAACCGACATCGAATTGTAAACGTAGTCACCAGCATGGTCGATGATCCGCCAACGCGCGCCGATCCTCGGAGACATACCTACACCTACACACCTACGAGGCACCACAGGCCGTCATCGGGCGATCACCGCCACCGCTCGTCCCGATCGCTGACGAGATTGTATCTTGGCCAACCCACACGCACAGCGAAGAACCACCGACCGCCCTCGCGACCCACACGGGCAGTAACGCACCATCGAGCGCAGCCACAACCCGCATCCACAGCGAAGCTCCACAGGCGGTAATCTTGTCCTGGCCGCCGCCGCTGATAGCGATCGTCGCCAGACCTGAGCGCTCGCCTCCAATCAGCCCTTCCTGGTGCGAGGGGATGTTCCACGAGGACATGATGGGAGCACTGCTGGAGGACGAAGAAGTGTCCATCACCCTACGATTCGGGACCTCCCACATCGAGGCGAACCCTCCGCGTCGTGACAACGAGGATTCGGTACCGACGCCGGTTCGCCGAACCGACAGAACATCTCGGAAAGGGTGGTCGTCGAGGTAAGCTCCGGGGACGAAGACTCGAGACCGCTCGCCGAGTATGCCATCCTCATCCCAGACGAGGGGGGCTACGTGACGAGGAAAATACCCTCCCACCGCTCAGGTTCGAGACACCGCCACCGACGTATGAAGAGTTGTTCAGAACAGGGACAGACCCTATCATACTATGAATGCGTGCTTAAACTCAACGCTATTCCGCTATTCGCACCCCACATGTACATTGTACATACATACGCACTTCTTCGTCCAGGGCTAACAATAGATGCTAATTTCAAACAAGCAAAGATAAAGTCATAATAAAAAAAAATCCCAATATTCTTGCCTATCGGAGCGCCAGAATGATCAGGCTTCGATTGGTTCTTAAATTCCAATTTATTTCTTGCCCGTATCCTTTTCTTACTTGCTTTATCAGCGAAATCCGCTCTAAAACAATTTATTGCCACAGTCGACTGCCTGAGAAAGTTTGAGTTAAGTATAAACGTTCTAGATGCCTCCACTCCAACTTTATCCGCCTGTAAAGTCCGTCGCGATCATTTAAATTCCTTCTGGCAAATGGTAAAAGGAGGATATTTCGTATGCTGCGATTGCGTTCTGGCGGCAGGCAAGTGAGTTACCAATTAAGTTGGTGGTGGTTGGGTTTGATTAATTTAATTTAATTGAAATACCAAACAATGCGTCTTCGCTCTTCGAGGTTCATATCTTAACTGTTGTTTATTTGACAATTCGGTTATAAGTTAATACATAATTCGCTGACGTTGCTGTTGGCATGTGGTGGGGGAACCGTTGAGTAAGCAGGCGATGCAGATCACACTTAGCGTCAATATACGAACTAGAGTATACGTTGTTGCCATGTGTATTGTTGTCCACAGTTGCACCCTGTCGATTTCTATATTAGTTTTGATATCCTCCATTTTTAGTTCGTGGATTCCCAATTCCTTCGTTGTTCTATTCTTTAAAGTTTTTGATTTTGGGAAACTCTACCTTTGGATTTTCTGCATTCAAGCGTTCTACTGCTACGTATCGCACGTTTTTGACTGTCACCTTGCAACGCTTATCATTAACGCTTATCAACGCCGAGCCATCGATTGTCCTTTTCGGTGCCGCAGATTGATTGTACTCGTACATTTTCGCCGTTAAACATCGCAATATGACCTTCCTCGGCTAGAATATCTCACAGTGAAATCTTGTCCTTCGTTTCGCTCTCCGCCGCTTCTCCGACTGTTAGATTCCTCAGGCACCTCTCACCTGCGTCATTTATATTTTCATTCTTTTTACATAAATATAGATCTCTAACTCTGACATGCTTTCGTGCAATAATAAAATTCCTTCTTGATTCATCGAAATCGATTTAGCGCCGCTTGTGAACAGTTGTGATTACTCTTGTGCTCTGAGTTTTTGTCTTATTCAGTCATTTTTTGCGAGTGTCTTGTGTTTGATTATTAACAAAGCTTAGCCTAACAATTGTGTTAGTGTTTTTAAATAGATCTCCCAATAAACGGGTACGTGGTTATAGTTATTTTAACATTTCTATTAGATTTGTTTAATCTCCTTGCTATGTTGAAGAAATTTACACTCTTTAAGCTTGCTAAAACTCTTTTATTCCCTCTCTATCTCCCGCTCTATATTATAACTGTAATTTAAACTCTCTCTGAACCTGCTGAACTTCTGGTAGAATTTTGGTGTGCTATTCTCTTATTCTCTCTCTCTTTACATTGTAACTGTTCGTGCGTAAAGTTGTTAGTGTCCCACAAGCCACGCCCAGCCGATAGACGATTTATTCTTTGATTGAATATGCAACCTCGCGCTCTTAATTTTTTCGAGTTTTGTGCCTTTATGGTTTTGAAATTTGATCCCAGTGCCAAATTTACTTGAGGTATTTTTCATATTTTTGTAAGGAGTTGAATAACTCCCCACAAATAGAAGCAGCAGCAGATGGCCGGCCGCTTACCATATACGCGGCGAATCCGCGTAGTAACGGCGCGGCGAGGAGAACGAGAGAGTTTGGAGACCAAGGGTGGAGATCGATAGAGTTTGGAGACCAACGAAGGAGAGCGAGAGAGTTTGGAGACCAATGAAGGAGAGCGAGAGAGTTTGGAGACCAAGGATGGAGATCGAGAGAGAATGGAGACTTCGCGGGCAGAGCAAGAGTGCCGTGTGCAAAAGCGGATAACGGAACTCCACCGGACCTTGGACTCTCCCGTGAACTTTGGACCGGGAGAAGAAGTGCCACATCTCGGCAGTGGAGTGGCACACAGGCGTGCCACAAACATCATGGGAATCAGCGGGACGGCAGCTGTGGGCAGAGCATCGGTTGGAAGCGGAACGTGAAGGACAAGAGGGTCAACCAGGAGGCACGAACTTTGGACCCGGAGTGGAGAGATCCAGCGGGCCGTGCGCAAAAGGGAAATAACGGTTCCCGGAGGCCCTATATAAGGCCGCAGAGCGCTGGCAGCTGGATCAGTCGATCACAAGGAGTCAAACCGTCAAGATCACTCAGATACCAAAGTGAACAATCAAACAACCAGATAATCTACAAGGGAACAACAGCAAGTCGAGTCGCCAGAGAAGCAGCGCCGTGGGAGCCTTCGAGGAGCGAGATTGCTACGTCGAGACGTTCGGGATTGGGATACCAGGAATCTCCGAATTGAGACGCAGGTAGCTGAGATCCAGAGGGCATCACACGGCTAGGTCAAGGCGGTCGATTAACCCTGTCCACAAAGTCCTGGCGTTACGCCTGGAAAGAGTATAACAAGCCAGAAGGGAGAGCAGTCGATCGGTACGGTCTCGAGTGGAACTATCCAGGAGAGCCCTACGGATTCGACTTGCGAGGTCACGGAGCGGCGTGCCCGAACCCCGAGTATAACAAGCCAAAAGGGAGAGCGGTCGATCGGTACGGTCTCGAGTGGAATTATCCAGGAGAGCCCTACGGATTCGACTTGCGAGGTCCCGGAGCGGCGTGCCCGAACCCCGAGTACCAAAAGCCACGCGGAAACGTCCCGGACAAAAAGCAAAAGGGTGAGGCTAGGGTGGAACGTTCGTTTACACTAGGCGTGGAAGCGAAGTAAGGCGCGAGGCAGCTTCCTGGCGTTCCGCCTTGACTGTCCGCGCGGGCTGAGCAGAAACCCCAGTGGGACCATCCGGGACAGAGCAAGGGACAGGCGGCGGTGTGTCGAAAGGAGCGATCCTGGAGAGCGCAGCTTCTGTTCACCCTAGTCTGAGATCGGTGACGCTTCCCTAAGCCCGTACGGCCGATACCCCTCGCGTGTCCGAGTCGGTACCAGCAGTCACCAAGTCACGCGTGAGAAGCGAACAGCGAGCGAGCGTCTTCAGGGAGCTGTGAGGATCTTCAGGGAGCGGCGAGGATCTTCAGGGAGCTGCGAGTATCTTCGGGGAGCTACAGGACTGGAGCAGCGAGTCATCAAGGCGAGAGGTCGTCGAGTCAATCAGGACCGTCGGAAGCACCGAAGGTCACAAGCAACGAGTCAAGGCCAACCAAGCGACTAAGACACTTGTAATAATATACCCGCAATAAACCCAATACGAACCCGTGAATTCTGTGCTTTCTCACTGAGCTACTGGGCGGTCACGTTAATATAAATTTGGTGGGACGAACACACAATATAATGAGCTAGCCGCACGAATCTCGTAGCGAGCAGACCATAAAAAATCAGTTCGTTACATCTGGCGCCCAACGTGATTGTCCCAGCAGTGAAAGCAATTTAAACAGAATGGGGAAGAAGTGGATCTACCGGCTTAAAAAGGAGGATTTCGCCAATGTCGCACAGAGGCTTAATGTCACCCTGGACGGCAGATTCGAGGACATGAGAAAAGCATTATCCGAGTATTACTCAGAAACGGATAATGACTCACAACTCGTTGACATCTGGGCCGATTTGGAAGCCACATACCACGACAAAGCCGGCCCCAGCATCACGTTAACAACCGCCGAAGGGGACAACTTAGTGGCAAGCCTGAGCGTTGACAACCTACAAAAGGAGGCAAACAGGAGAAAATCAAGCCAAGACAGGAAAACAACAGCGCTGATCTCGAGACCCAATCAGTCAGACTATGCAAGGATCGCTAAACAGGTCCGCGAATGGTCGTTCAGGTTCGACGGGGCGGAAAAACCGTTCGAGTCCCTGGAGCAGGTGGAATTCAGGTGGTTCATCGCCAAAAACAAACAATGGAAAACCTGGGCGGAGTTCATAGATAGTTTCCACACATACTTTCTACCGAGAGACTTCTTCACCAGGCTGGCGGATCAGGTCAGGCAACGGAAGCAGGGCTTCAGCGAGTCGTTCAAAGACTACATGATCGACATGCATACGATGGTGAGGCCACTTAATTACTCCGCTATAGAGACCCTAAGGATCATCAAGGAAAACTGCAACCCAGTCTAAGGATCATCCTAAGGGCATACAAAGTGTCGGACCTGGACACGCTGATGATATTAGCAGACAAGTATGAAGAACTCGAAAAGGAGCGGGAAGCGTTCGCGCCAGAACAAATTCTCTAAGAACAAGCAGAATATGCGAAGAGACAGGAATCCAGGAGACACGGGGACACGACCAATGGTCGACACCTAACCGAGTACCACGGCAGCAGGCAACAGGAGCACCACGCGGAGGCCAATGGACACCACCACAACAGCAACAGATGCAACCAGCAAACAATGTTTGGAGGCCACCAAGTACAACACAAAGGCCACGTGAAACGACACACATCACAGACCCCCAGGAGGCCTGCCGAAAGTGCGGCGGTCATGGACACTGGGCGCGGGGATGTCGACACCAACGCCTGTTGTTCTGCTGGGTGTGCGGGAGAGTAGGCGTCAGGAGCGTTGAATGCTGCCAGCAGGCGGGAAATGCCCAGCGATCTTAGCCGCAGAGAGGCGAGCGGGGGTCGCAAGATGCTACCTCTCCAAACTAACGGGAAAGCTGATCGAGGAGGAGCAGCAGTTGTCCGCAGCGGTGACGATTGGTGGGGGCACATACAAGGCCACAATCGACACCGGGGCAACAGCAAGCCGTATAAGCAAAGAGCTGGCGGACGACCTAGCTGCCCTCGGAAAGATTACGAGGATACGACGGCAAGTGAGGTTGGCAGTCGGAAGATGTGGCGGAATCGATGAGCAGCTGGAGGTGAAAATCCCGTTCGGGAACAAGCGACTGAGCATGAGCCTGCTGATACTACCAGGGGTAGTGGATTCATTGGTGTTGGGATGGAACTTTCTAACACAAGTCGGTACCGAAATCAAGTGCGCTGGACACGAAGTGATAATACCGGCCAGGAGTCGTCACAAGGGATGGCTCGAGGAGAAGTTGTCGGTGGCAGTCGTACAACTGGCAAGCGAAGATGACGACACGACGAAATTCCTGGAGGCAGAGCTATCGACTTTCAGCACCATGAAGGGAGCATCAAACATGGCAGAGCATCAGATCACGATGAAAGACGACAAACCAATAAAGCAGCGATACTATCCCAAGAATCCGAAAGTTCAAGGGGAGATCAATGCAAAGGTGGACGAGCTTCTCCAAATGGGATACATAGAACACTCAACAAGCCCATACAGTTCTCCCATCGTGATGGTTAAAATAAAGACGGGCAAATGGAGACTGTGCGTCGACTTTAGGCAAATAAACGCCAAGTCTGTAAAGGATGCCTACCCGATGCCCCGAATAAATTATATTCTCGACCAACAGAGGGAAGCACGGTTCATCAGCAGCTTGGACCTAAAGGATGGTACTGGCAAATCATCTCTTACTCAAGCCGAACGCTCAACGGCAATGAGAAGAATTACTCAACGACCGAGAAGGAGTGCTTGGCAATCGTCTGCGCAATCCGAAAGCTCAAGCCGTATCTGGAAGGTTACCACTTTAAAGTAGTAACCGACCACATGGCACTGAAGTGGCTCAACAGCATAGAGATCTCTTCAGGGAGGATCGCCAGTTGGGCCCTGGAGTTGCAGCAGTACGACTTCGAAATAGCGTACAGGAAAGGGCAACTCAACGTGGTGGCAGACGCTTTGTCAAGGCAGCCACTGCCGGAAACGCTTCGAGGGATCAAGGAGACGTCGGCGGCGGAAGCTTCTGCAGCATGCAGCTGGATTCTGGAAATGCGCGAAAAGATAAGGACCCAGCCGCAAAAGTATCCGGACTACGTGATGGAGGGTAACACCCTGTACAGGAATATACCTCATAGAGCGGGCAGCGAAGATGTTGCAACATGGAAGATGTGCGTCCCGAAAGCTCTACGGGAAACGGTGCTGAAGGAGAACCACGACTCACCGGCGGCTGGCCATGTAGGAAGCCGAAAGACAATAGCACGTCTGGCAGCCCGGTACTACTGGCCAGGAATGCACAGAGACGCCCGAGCCCACGTGCGAGGATGCGAGACATGCATGAGATTCAAGCCGAATCAGATGCAAATGGCTGGGAAAATGCTTACGCAGGTGCCAGAGGAACCGTGGGCTACGGTATGTGCGGACTTCGTCGGACCCCTGCCGCGTTCGAAGCACGGCAACCAAATGCTGCTAGTATTGATAGACCGGTTCTCCAAGTGGACTGAGTTGGTGCCGCTGCGAAGCGCGACGGCCGAGTCCCTAAAGAAAGCTTTTAAAGAACGCATAATCGCGAGGTATGAGGTCCCCAAAATAGTCATAACGGACAACGGAGTCCAGTTTACCAGCAAAACTTTCAAGAGTTTCCTGGCCGAAATGGGAGCCAAGCAACAGTTCACAGCTCCATACACCCCACAGGAGAACCCGACTGAGAGAGCCAATAGGACGGTGAAAACAATGATAGCGCAGTTCGCAGGGCAGAACCAAAGAGACTGGGACAAAAAATGGCCAAAAATCATGCTGGCAGTAAACACGAGCGTTTTAGAATCCACAGGATACACACCGTCGTTCATTACCCAAGGCAGAGAACCAAGACTACCGAGCGTCCTATACGAAAGATAAACCGTAGGGACCGGACGACCGACAGAGACCCCGGAAGAGAAAGCAAACAAACTCAGGGAAATCTTCGAGATTGTAAGGCGGAACCTGGAGAAAGCATCCCAGGACCAGGCTAGGCAGTATAACCTAAGGAGGAAGCCAGAGGTGGTGTGGGCCAAGGAACACCACTTATCAAAAGCGGCCGAGGGGTTCGCAGCAATATTGGCCCCAAGATACGACGGACCTTACCAAGTCATAGGTTTTGCGTCACCAGTAATCTGCAAAATACGACACATAAACACAAAGAAAGAGCGGACCATCCACGTAAGCGAGCTGAAACAGCAACAAACGGAAAACACAAGCGAGCGGCCACAGCAAGCAAACACAACAGACGCAAAACAACATTGAAAGTCCAAGGTACCCCCAAGGATGCCCAAAGGATACTACGGAAGGAGTCCAAGGATACCTCCAAGGATTACCAAAGGATACTACGAAAGGATCCCAAGGATACCCCCAAGGATGCCCAAAGGATACTACGAAAGGAGTCCAAGGATACGTCCAAGGATTCCCAAAAGGTACTACGAAAGGAGTCCAAGGATACCTCCAAGGATGACCAAAGGATACAACGAAAGGATCCCAAGGATACCTCCAAGGATGCCCAAAGGATACTACGAAAGGAGTCCAAGGGTACCTCCAAGGATGCCCAAAGGGTACTACGAATGGATTCCGAGGATACCTCCAAGGATGCCCAAAGGATACTACGAAAAGAGTCCAAGGATACCTGCAAGGATTCCCAAAGGATACTGAGAACAAATTCCAAGGATACCTCCAAGGATTCGAAAGGGATACTACAAACCGACTCCAAGGATACTACAGGGCATCTACAAAGGCGCAATGAAACACATAAAGGACATCAGGAGAACGTTAAGAACACAAAGGGAGCGAACCAGAGCGTCTAAGGTCTCGATTGAGACTGACCGGAGGAAGGAAAAAAACACGCATCAAAAGTCTGCCGAAGGAAGGGGGAAGACGGCACAGAGCAGAGAGCTGTACCGTAGATCTGGGTGGTAAGGAGAGGCCGATGGAAATAGCGGGATTGAGCAAAGAGGAAGGCTCGGAACCGAGGTGTCGTTAAAGGGAGCCCAGGCTCCAGCTGAACAATCAAAATCGACGAGCATCATGAGCACACGCATAACCAGGAGCGAAGCGCGCAAAATGATGGCTGCCCACCAGCCGTCCGGAGGATCTAGCCCGGGGCAAGGATGGTCGACAGCCCGGCCTACCCGACAGCGACGTCGAGTTGGTGGAGGACCCGCGGGTGGAGCAACGGCGATGGCGGCTTCGCAAAGCGGTCAACCGGGCCGACGGACGCATCCCGACTGGCGCGGCAGAGGTGGAGTGGGCTAGCGAAGAGCCGCCCCAGGACCAGCTGGCTCCCAGTAGCCATGCCGAGGCTGTGGTAGCGGCTACGTGGGAGTTTCGACGAAAGTGCGAGGCGCGAAGGCGGAGCGAGGAGCGGCGGTTAAAGGAGATGGAGGAGTCGCCGGAGTGGCAGGCCCAACTGCGGATGGCCGAGGAGGAGGAGCAGCAGCTGTGGGAAAACCACAGTGGACGCCAGCACGACCGCCCACGCCGAGGTTCGAGCAGCCACCACCGCAGCAGCAGCCACCACAGCGGCAGCAGCTCGAACGCGAGCAGCCACCACCGCAGCAGCAGCCACCACAGCGGCAGCAGCTCGAACGCGAGCAACCACCATCGCAGCAGCAGCCACCACAGCAGCAGCCACCACCGCAGCAGCAGCCACCACCGCAGCAGCAGCCACCACCGCAGCAGCAACACATCCGGACGGACATACCGGCGGCCCATGTGAGCCACAGCACCCGGACGTTCGTGGCCGAAGGAGTTAGGTGGCGACAGCAGACGGTTGTCTGGACCTGGCCGGAGGGACCCGTAGAGGAGACGGCAGCGACGGAGGAGCCCCGAATCTGGGAAGAAAGTGGTCCCCGGGTAAGCCCGCTGGATCCCAGACCGGAGCAGTGGGCACCACCGACGCCGAGCACCGGACCAACAACGTCAAGGACAGGGCCATCGACGCCAATGCCTACCGGGAGCGCGACGGTAAGCGCGGAGCCAGATGAGCCGCTGGAGCGAGGAGCCTGGGTGTGGCCCGAGCCCGTGGAAGGTGGCCGACCTCCGCTCAAACGGCAGCACTCGGCGCCCGAAGTGTCCGAGGTGGTGACACGGCCGAAATTGTCGCGGACGGTGTCGGCGCCGGAGGGCCAGCGATGGCGAGAGATCGCCAGCGTGAAGCCAGGCTCAGCCGGCGGAGGACGATTGAAGGGCGAGAGAGAGAGACGAGAGGCGAGAGAGGTCGTGTGGAGAGAGAAAGGATGAAATAGAAAGGAGTGAGGAAATGCGAAAACTTACTTAGAAAGTTCCAAAATCACCATGATCCAGGGAAGGGGGCGCCTCGATAGGCGATCGATTGGCACTAAATGAAAGTGCGATCGATGGGTACACGTCAAATGGTAATATCGGCCCAAGGTGGAAATATCGCAACGAGCAGGTGGCAACGCCGCACCGTCGGTATCGATAAACGAATAAACATCGAGCACGCACGAATGGTGTGACCAGGCGGAGGAACCAATAAAAGGAGTAGAACGCAGCAATAAGTAGCGAGCTGGGGATCGATAACCCACGAGTATCGATGTCCCAGTGGAGTCAGGGAGAATATCGGCGCGGGAGATTCAAGTTGCTACGAGGAGGATGACCAGCGCTGTAGGAACTCAACGGAGTTAAGAGCGTCGAGGGAGCATCGAGGGAGCAACGAGGGAGCGCCGCGGGAATCACAAGGACTCGAAGGCTGGGATAAGCAAGGAACCGCCGGAGAGTAGGAACCAGTCTTAAATGTTTCCCGAAGTAAGGGGGGAATGTGATGAGTTGAATAACTCCGCACAAATAGAAGCAGCAGCAGATGGCCGGCCGCTTACCAGATACGCGGCGAATTCGCGTAGTAACGGCACGGCGAGGAGAACGAGAGAGTTTGGAGACCAAGGGTGGAGATCGAGAGAATTTGGAGACCAACGAAGGAGAGCGAGAGAGTTTGGAGACCAATGAAGGAGAGCGAGAGAGTTTGGAGACCAAGGATGGAGATCGAGAGAGAATGGAGACTTCGCGGGCAGAGCAAGAGTGCCGTGTGCAAAAGCGGATAACGGAACTCCACCGGACTTTGGACTCTCCCGTGAACTTTGGACCGGGAGAAGAAGTGCCACATCTTGGCAGTGGAGTGGCACACAGGCGTGCCACAAACATCATGGGAATCAGCGGGACGGCAGCTGTGGGCAGAGCATCGGTTGGAAGCGGTACGTGAAGGACAAGAGGGTCAACCAGGAGGCACGAACTTTGGACCCGGAGTGGAGAGATCCAGCGGGCCGTGCGCAAAAGGGAAATAACGGTTCCCGGAGGCCCTATATAAGGCCGCAGAGCGCTGGCAGCTGGATCAGTCGATCACAAGGAGTCAAACCGTCAAGATCACTCAGATACCAAAGTGAACAATCAAACAACCAGATAATCTACAAGGGAACAACAGCAAGTCGAGTCGCCAGAGAAGCAGCGCCGTGGGAGCCTTCGAGGAGCGAGATTGCTACGTCGAGACGTTCGGGATTGGGATACCAGGAATCTCCGAATTGAGACGCAGGTAGCTGAGATCCAGAGGGCATCACACGGCTAGGTCAAGGCGGTCGATTAACCCTGTCCACAAAGTCCTGGCGTTACGCCTGGAAAGAGTATAACAAGCCAGAAGGGAGAGCGGTCGATCGGTACGGTCTCGAGTGGGATTGTCCAGGAGAGCCCTACGGATTCGACTTGCGGCGTGCCCGAACCCCGAGTATAACAAGCCAGAAGGGAGAGCGGTCGATCGGTACGGTCTCGAGTGGAATTATCCAGGAGAGCCCTACGGATTCGACTTGCGAGGTCCCGGAGCGGCGTGCCCGAACCCCGAGTACCAAAAGCCACGCGGAAACGTCCCGGACAAAAAGCAAAAGGGTGAGGCTGGGGTGGAACGTTCGTTTACACTAGGCGTGGAAGCGAAGTAAGGCGCGAGGCAGCTTCCTGGCGTTCCGCCTTGACTGTCCGCGCGGGCTGAGCAGAAACCCCAGTGGGACCATCCGGGACAGAGCAAGGGACAGGCGGCGGTGTGTCGAAAGGAGCGATCCTGAAGAGCGCAGCTTCTGTTCACCCTAGTCTGAGATCGGTGACGCTTCCCTAAGCCCGTACGGCCGATACCACTCGCGTGTCCGAGTCGGTACCAGCAGTCACCAAGTCACGCGTGAGAAGCGAACAGCGAGCGAGCGTCATCAGGGAGCTGCGAGGATCTTCAGGGAGCGGCGAGGATCTTCAGGGAGCTGCGAGTATCTTCGGGGAGCTACAGGACTGGAGCACCGAGTCATCAAGGCGAGAGGTCGTCGAGTCAATCAGGACCGTCGGAAGCACCGAAGGTCACAAGCAACGAGTCAAGGCCAACCAAGCGACTAAGACACTTGTAATTATATACCCGCAATAAACCCAATACGAACCCGTGAATTCTGTGCTTTCTCACTGAGCTACTGGGCGGTCACGTTAATATAAATTTGGTGGGACGAACACACAATATAATGAGCTAGCCGCACGAATCTCGTAGCGAGCAGACCATAAAAAATCAGTTCGTTACATCTGGCGCCCAACGTGATTGTCCCAGCAGTGAAAGCAATTTAAACAGAATGGGGAAGAAGTGGATCTACCGGCTTAAAAAGGAGGATTTCGCCAATGTCGCACAGAGGCTTAATGTCACCCTGGACGGCAGATTCGAGGACATGAGAAAAGCATTATCCGAGTATTACTCAGAAACGGATAATGACTCACAACTCGTTGACATCTGGGCCGATTTGGAAGCCACATACCACGACAAAGCCGGCCCCAGCATCACGTTAACAACCGCCGAAGGGGACAACTTAGTGGCAAGCCTGAGCGTTGACAACCTACAAAAGGAGGCAAACAGGAGAAAATCAAGCCAAGACAGGAAAACAACAGCGCTGATCTCGAGACCCAATCAGTCAGACTATGCAAGGATCGCTAAACAGGTCCGCGAATGGTCGTTCAGGTTCGACGGGGCGGAAAAACCGTTCGAGTCCCTGGAGCAGGTGGAATTCAGGTGGTTCATCGCCAAAAACAAACAATGGAAAACCTGGGCGGAGTTCATAGATAGTTTCCACACATACTTTCTACCGAGAGACTTCTTCACCAGGCTGGCGGATCAGGTCAGGCAACGGAAGCAGGGCTTCAGCGAGTCGTTCAAAGACTACATGATCGACATGCATACGATGGTGAGGCCACTTAATTACTCCGCTATAGAGACCCTAAGGATCATCAAGGAAAACTGCAACCCAGTCTAAGGATCATCCTGAGGGCATACAAAGTGTCGGACCTGGACACGCTGATGATATTAGCAGACAAGTATGAAGAACTCGAAAAGGAGCGGGAAGCGTTCGCGCCAGAACAAATTCTCTAAGAACAAGCAGAATATGCGAAGAGACAGGAATCCAGGAGACACGGGGACACGACCAATGGTCGACACCTAACCGAGTACCACGGCAGCAGGCAACGGGAGCACCACGCGGAGGCCAATGGACACCACCACAACAGCAACAGATGCAACCAGCAAACAATGTTTGGAGGCCACCAAGTACAACACAAAGGCCACGTGAAACGACACACATCACAGACCCCCAGGAGGCCTGCCGAAAGTGCGGCGGTCATGGACACTGGGCGCGGGGATGTCGACACCAACGCCTGTTGTTCTGCTGGGTGTGCGGGAGAGTAGGCGTCAGGAGCGTTGAATGCTGCCAGCAGGCGGGAAATGCCCAGCGATCTTAGCCGCAGAGAGGCGAGCGGGGGTCGCAAGATGCTACCTCTCCAAACTAACGGGAAAGCTGATCGAGGAGGAGCAGCAGTTGTCCGCAGCGGTTACGATTGGTGGGGGCACATACAAGGCCACAATCGACACCGGGGCAACAGCAAGCCTTATAAGCAAAGAGCTGGCGAACGACCTGGCTGCCCTCGGAAAGATTACGAGGATACGACGGCAAGTGAGGTTGGCAGTCGGAAGATGTGGCGGAATCGATGAGCAGCTGGAGGTGAAAATCGCGTTCGGGAACAAGCGACTGAGCATGAGCCTGCTGATACTACCAGGGGTAGTGGATTCATTGGTGTTGGGATGGAACTTTCTAACACAAGTCGGTACCGAAATCAAGTGCGCTGGACACGAAGTGATAATACCGGCCAGGAGTCGTCACAAGGGATGGCTCGAGGAGAAGTTGTCGGTGGCAGTCGTACAACTGGCAAGCGAAGATGACGACACGACGAAATTCCTGGAGGCAGAGCTATCGACTTTCAGCACCATGAAGGGAGCATCAAACATGGCAGAGCATCAAATCACGATGAAAGACGACAAACCAATAAAGCAGCGATACTATCCCAAGAATCCGAAAGTTCAAGGGGAGATCAATGCAAAGGTGGACGAGCTTCTCCAAATGGGATACATAGAACACTCAACAAGCCCATACAGTTCTCCCATCGTGATGGTTAAAATAAAGACGGGCAAATGGAGACTGTGCGTCGACTTTAGGCAAATAAACGCCAAGTCTGTAAAGGATGCCTACCCGATGCCCCGAATAAATTATATTCTCGACCAACAGAGGGAAGCACGGTTCATCAGCAGCTTGGACCTAAAGGATGGTACTGGCAAATCACACTGAAAGCAGACAGCAGGCAGTATACGGCATTTACAGTGCCGGGGAAAGGTTTATTCCAATGGAAAGTAATGCCATTCGGACTTCATTCGGCGTCTGCGACCTTTCAACGGGTGCTGGACCGGGTGATCGGACGACATCATAGTGAATTGGCGCTCGCTGGAAGAACACAAGGCCAACCTAAAGGAAGTGTTCCGACGACTAAAGGAGGCAAATCTGAGATTAAACCCGTAGAAGTGCCAATCTTTCAAGAAAGAGCTGTTATATCTCTGTCATCGAGTGACTAGCGAAGGAATAGGCACGGATCCGGAAAAGGTAGCAGCCATCGCCGAACTAGAACCACCATCGACAGTAAGAGAGCTCCGACAGTACCTGGGCGTAGCATCATGGTACCGCCGGTTTGTACCTGACTTCGCAAAAATAGTCAAACCTCTCAACGATCTGCTACGCAAGGGCAATAAATGGGTGTGGACACAGGAACATCAGACGGCGTTCGAAGAGGTGAAGGCAAGACTCGTCGCAGACCCCGTACTGGCATGCCCGGATTTCGACAAACCATTCGTCTTGCAAACTGACGCAAGCGACTACGGCATCGGGGCAATCTTGACCCAGGAAACTGAACGAGGCGAAAAGGTAATCTCTTACTCAAGCCGAACGCTCAACGGCAATGAGAAGAATTACTCAACGACCGAGAAGGAGTGCTTGGCAATCGTCTGCGCAATCCGAAAGCTCAAGCCGTATCTGGAAGGTTACCACTTTAAAGTAGTAACCGACCACATGGCACTGAAGTGGCTCAACAGCATAGAGATCTCTTCAGGGAGGATCGCCAGTTGGGCCCTGGAGTTGCAGCAGTACGACTTCGAAATAGCGTACAGGAAAGGGCAACTCAACGTGGTGGCAGACGCTTTGTCAAGGCAGCCACTGCCGGAAACGCTTCGAGGGATCAAGGAGACGTCGGCGGCGGAAGCTTCTGCAGCATGCAGCTGGATTCTGGAAATGCGCGAAAAGATAAGGACCCAGCCGCAAAAGTATCCGGACAACGTGATGGAGGGTAACACCCTGTACAGGAATATACCTCATAGAGCGGGCAGCGAAGATGTTGCAACATGGAAGATGTGCGTCCCGAAAGCTCTACGGGAAACGGTGCTGAAGGAGAACCACGACTCACCGGCGGCTGGCCATGTAGGAAGCCGAAAGACAATAGCACGTCTGGCAGCCCGGTACTACTGGCCAGGAATGCACAGAGACGCCCGAGCCCACGTGCGAGGATGCGAGACATGCATGAGATTCAAGTCGAATCAGATGCAAATGGCTGGGAAAATGCTTACGCAGGTGCCAGAGGAACCGTGGGCTACGGTATGTGCGGACTTCGTCGGACCCCTGCCGCGTTCGAAGCACGGCAACCAAATGCTGCTAGTATTGATAGACCGGTTCTCCAAGTGGACTGAGTTGGTGCCGCTGCGAAGCGCGACGTCCGAGTCCCTAAAGAAAGCTTTTAAAGAACGCATAATCGCGAGGTATGAGGTCCCCAAAATAGTCATAACGGACAACGGAGTCCAGTTTACCAGCAAAACTTTCAAGAGTTTCCTGGCCGAAATGGGAGCCAAGCAACAGTTCACAGCTCCATACACCCCACAGGAGAACCCGACTGAGAGAGCCAATAGGACGGTGAAAACAATGATAGCGCAGTTCGCAGGGCAGAACCAAAGAGACTGGGACAAAAAATGGCCAGAAATCATGCTGGCAGTAAACACGAGCGTTTTAGAATCCACAGGATACACACCGTCGTTCATTACCCAAGGCAGAGAACCAAGACTACCGAGCGCCCTATACGAAAGATAAACCGTAGGGACCGGACGACCGACAGAGACCCCGGAAGAGAAAGCAAACAAACTCAGGGAAATCTTCGAGATTGTAAGGCGGAACCTGGAGAAAGCATCCCAGGACCAGGCTAGGCAGTATAACCTAAGGAGGAAGCCAGAGGTGGTGTGGGCCAAGGAACACCACTTATCAAAAGCGGCCGAGGGGTTCGCAGCAATATTGGCCCCAAGATACGACGGACCTTACCAAGTCATAGGTTTTGCGTCACCAGTAATCTGCAAAATACGACACATAAACACAAAGAAAGAGCGGACCATCCACGTAAGCGAGCTGAAACAGCAACAAACGGAAAACACAAGCGAGCGGCCACAGCAAGCAAACACAACAGACGCAAAACAACATTGAAAGTCCAAGGTACCCCCAAGGATGCCCAAAGGATACTACGGAAGGAGTCCAAGGATACCTCCAAGGATTACCAAAGGATACTACGAAAGGATCCCAAGGATACCCCCAAGGATGCCCAAAGGATACTACGAAAGGAGTCCAAGGATACGTCCAAGGATTCCCAAAAGGTACTACGAAAGGAGTCCAAGGATACCTCCAAGGATGACCAAAGGATACAACGAAAGGATCCCAAGGATACCTCCAAGGATGCCCAAAGGATACTACGAAAGGAGTCCAAGGGTACCTCCAAGGATGCCCAAAGGGTACTACGAAAGGATTCCGAGGATACCTCCAAGGATGCCCAAAGGATACTACGAAAAGAGTCCAAGGATACCTGCAAGGATTCCCAAAGGATACTGAGAACAAATTCCAAGGATACCTCCAAGGATTCGAAAGGGATACTACAAACCGACTCCAAGGATACTACAGGGCATCTACAAAGGCGCAATGAAACACATAAAGGACATCAGGAGAACGTTAAGAACACAAAGGGAGCGAACCAGAGCGTCTAAGGTCTCGATTGGGACTGACCGGAGGAAGGAAAAAAACACGCATCAAAAGTCTGCCGAAGGAAGGGGGAAGACGGCACAGAGCAGAGAGCTGTACCGTAGATCTGGGTGGTAAGGAGAGGCCGATGGAAATAGCGGGATTGAGCAAAGAGGAAGGCTCGGAACCGAGGTGTCGTTAAAGGGAGCCCAGGCTCCAGCTGAACAATCAAAATCGACGAGCATCATGAGCACACGCATAACCAGGAGCGAAGCGCGCAAAATGATGGCTGCCCACCAGCCGTCCGGAGGATCTAGCCCGGGGCAAGGATGGTCGACAGCCCGGCCTACCCGACAGCGACGTCGAGTTGGTGGAGGACCCGCGGGTGGAGCAACGGCGATGGCGGCTTCGCAAAGCGGTCAACCGGGCCGACGGACGCATCCCGACTGGCGCGGCAGAGGTGGAGTGGGCTAGCGAAGAGCCGCCCCAGGACCAGCTGGCTCCCAGTAGCCATGCCGAGGCTGTGGTAGCGGCTACGTGGGAGTTTCGACGAAAGTGCGAGGCGCGAAGGCGGAGCGAGGAGCGGCGGTTAAAGGAGATGGAGGAGTCGCCGGAGTGGCAGGCCCAACTGCGGATGGCCGAGGAGGAGGAGCAGCAGCTGTGGGAAAACCACAGTGGACGCCAGCACGACCGCCCACGCCGAGGTTCGAGCAGCCACCACCGCAGCAGCAGCCACCACAGCGGCAGCAGCTCGAACGCGAGCAGCCACCACCGCAGCAGCAGCCACCACAGCGGCAGCAGCTCGAACGCGAGCAACCACCATCGCAGCAGCAGCCACCACAGCAGCAGCCACCACCGCAGCAGCAGCCACCACCGCAGCAGCAGCCACCACCGCAGCAGCAACACATCCGGACGGACATACCGGCGGCCCATGTGAGCCACAGCACCCGGACGTTCGTGGCCGAAGGAGTTAGGTGGCGACAGCAGACGGTTGTCTGGACCTGGCCGGAGGGACCCGTAGAGGAGACGGCAGCGACGGAGGAGCCCCGAATCTGGGAAGAAAGTGGTCCCCGGGTGAGCCCGCTGGATCCCAGACCGGAGCAGTGGGCACCACCGACGCCGAGCACCGGACCAACAACGTCAAGGACAGGGCCATCGACGCCAATGCCTACCGGGAGCGCGACGGTAAGCGCGGAGCCAGATGAGCCGCTGGAGCGAGGAGCCTGGGTGTGGCCCGAGCCCGTGGAAGGTGGCCGACCTCCGCTCAAACGGCAGCACTCGGCGCCCGAAGTGTCCGAGGTGGTGACACGGCCGAAATTGTCGCGGACGGTGTCGGCGCCGGAGGGCCAGCGATGGCGAGAGATCGCCAGCGTGAAGCCAGGCTCAGCCGGCGGAGGACGATTGAAGGGCGAGAGAGAGAGACGAGAGGCGAGAGAGGTCGTGTGGAGAGAGAAAGGATGAAATAGAAAGGAGTGAGGAAATGCGAAAACTTACTTAGAAAGTTCCAAAATCACCATGATCCAGGGAAGGGGGCGCCTCGATAGGCGATCGATTGGCACTAAATGAAAGTGCGATCGATGGGTACACGTCAAATGGTAATATCGGCCCAAGGTGGAAATATCGCAACGAGCAGGTGGCAACGCCGCACCGTCGGTATCGATAAACGAATAAACATCGAGCACGCACGAATGGTGTGACCAGGCGGAGGAACCAATAAAAGGAGTAGAACGCAGCAATAAGTAGCGAGCTGGGGATCGATAACCCACGAGTATCGATGTCCCAGTGGAGTCAGGGAGAATATCGGCGCGGGAGATTCAAGTTGCTACGAGGAGGATGACCAGCGCTGTAGGAACTCAACGGAGTTAAGAGCGTCGAGGGAGCATCGAGGGAGCAACGAGGGAGCGCCGCGGGAATTACTAGGACTCGAAGGCTGGGATAAGCAAGGAACCGCCGGAGAGTAGGAACCAGTCTTAAATGTTTCCCGAAGTAAGGGGGGAATGTGATGAGTTGAATAACTCCCCACAAATAGAAGCAGCAGCAGATGGCCGGCCGCTTACCAGATACGCGGCGAATTCGCGTAGTAACGGCACGGCGAGGAGAACGAGAGAGTTTGGAGACCAAGGGTGGAGATCGAGAGAATTTGGAGACCAACGAAGGAGAGCGAGAGAGTTTGGAGACCAATGAAGGAGAGCGAGAGAGTTTGGAGACCAAGGATGGAGATCGAGAGAGAATGGAGACTTCGCGGGCAGAGCAAGAGTGCCGTGTGCAAAAGCGGATAACGGAACTCCACCGGACTTTGGACTCTCCCGTGAACTTTGGACCGGGAGAAGAAGTGCCACATCTTGGCAGTGGAGTGGCACACAGGCGTGCCACAAACATCATGGGAATCAGCGGGACGGCAGCTGTGGGCAGAGCATCGGTTGGAAGCGGTACGTGAAGGACAAGAGGGTCAACCAGGAGGCACGAACTTTGGACCCGGAGTGGAGAGATCCAGCGGGCCGTGCGCAAAAGGGAAATAACGGTTCCCGGAGGCCCTATATAAGGCCGCAGAGCGCTGGCAGCTGGGTCAGTCGATCACAAGGAGTCAAACCGTCAAGATCACTCAGATACCAAAGTGAACAATCAAACAACCAGATAATCTACAAGGGAACAACAGCAAGTCGAGTCGCCAGAGAAGCAGCGCCGTGGGAGCCTTCGAGGAGCGAGATTGCTACGTCGAGACGTTCGGGATTGGGATACCAGGAATCTCCGAATTGAGACGCAGGTAGCTGAGATCCAGAGGGCATCACACGGCTAGGTCAAGGCGGTCGATTAACCCTGTCCACAAAGTCCTGGCGTTACGCCTGGAAAGAGTATAACAAGCCAGAAGGGAGAGCGGTCGATCGGTACGGTCTCGAGTGGGATTGTCCAGGAGAGCCCTACGGATTCGACTTGCGGCGTGCCCGAACCCCGAGTATAACAAGCCAGAAGGGAGAGCGGTCGATCGGTACGGTCTCGAGTGGAATTATCCAGGAGAGCCCTACGGATTCGACTTGCGAGGTCCCGGAGCGGCGTGCCCGAACCCCGAGTACCAAAAGCGACGCGGAAACGTCCCGGACAAAAAGCAAAAGGGTGAGGCTAGGGTGGAACGTTCGTTTACACTAGGCGTGGAAGCGAAGTAAGGCGCGAGGCAGCTTCCTGGCGTTCCGCCTTGACTGTCCGCGCGGGCTGAGCAGAAACCCCAGTGGGACCATCCGGGACAGAGCAAGGGACAGGCGGCGGTGTGTCGAAAGGAGCGATCCTGGAGAGCGCAGCTTCTGTTCACCCTAGTCTGAAAACGGTGACGCTTCCCTAAGCCCGTACGGCCGATACCACTCGCGTGTCCGAGTCGGTACCAGCAGTCACCAAGTCACGCGTGAGAAGCGAACAGCGAGCGAGCGTCATCAGGGAGCTGCGAGGATCTTCAGGGAGCGGCGAGGATCTTCAGGGAGCTGCGAGTATCTTCGGGGAGCTACAGGACTGGAGCACCGAGTCATCAAGGCGAGAGGTCGTCGAGTCAATCAGGACCGTCGGAAGCACCGAAGGTCACAAGCAACGAGTCAAGGCCAACCAAGCGACTAAGACACTTGTAATTATATACCCGCAATAAACCCAATACGAACCCGTGAATTCTGTGCTTTCTCACTGAGCTACTGGGCGGTCACGTTAATATAAATTTGGTGGGACGAACACACAATATAATGAGCTAGCCGCACGAATCTCGTAGCGAGCAGACCATAAAAAATCAGTTCGTTACATTTTATTTTATTTTATTTCATTTCCTTTAAATAACTTTATCTTTTCTTTCTTATAATGGCTCTTGTCTAACTAAAGACCCTTTTATTTTCTGCTGGCTCTGCAAATCGATGATGCACGTTAAATGTGCAGGATTTATTGGTCATTGATCTGAATTCTGGTCTCATGTGGGTCCTTCAAGAAAATTATAGTTGAGATGACTCGAGACTGCCTATTGAATATTTCATGAGCTTTTAAACAGCTCAATGGGGCGTTCAATTTAATGCCCAATTTAATAATAAAAAATTACTAACTGAGTCGCCAAAACGCAAAAAGCCAGCTTAAAGGCAGTTAATACGATCATGGGATCCACCCCAAATCCTAACTTGGCAGCTGCAGCAGTTTCTGTTGAAACAGGGGTAAGTGAGCCAACTGTGCCTATGGATACAGCTTATTTCGGTGCAGTCTCATTTTCTGGAAGTCTGGCTGTAAAAAAATCTTCAGTGCTGGCTACGTCAAACAATTCGGTGCCGACCGTACCATAGGTACAGTAGGTACCGTTTCTGGCTCTCACCTGAGGATGTTTAGGAATTTATACGTGAAAAATTCCCATCCGAGAACATTGCAGTTGATTTTCATACGCTCGTAGTATATCGTCTTTTAAGATATTTGCTTCGCCTGATGTGTTTAATGTACTTCTTTCTAAAAGCTTTTGGCTTAATGATGATTTTGTAATAAAAGAATTTGTTCCCAATAAACCGAGAACAAATTTGGGTTATCAAAATGTTAGGGGACTAAATATGAAGCTACCCTAGCTTTATGCTGACTCCTCTGCATTTACTGAAGATATTTTGGCTTTTACGGAAGCTTGGCTGAAACCAGAGATATCTATAAGTTCTGTCAAACAACTTTAATGCCTATAGGACCGATCGCTCCTCACGTAGAGGGGGCGGTGTGCTGATTGCCGTTACCTCTATCCTAACATCTGAGAGAATTCACTTTGATATCCCTAACGAAATTGAATTTATTATTGTGAAAGTTTCCTTGCAATCCTTATCTATTTTTGTTACATGTTCCTAGATTCCACCTGGCTCTGATTCAATAATTTATGAGCACCATCTGTCTGCGATAAATTCTGTTCTATCCCTTTTTTCTAACAGAGACCTTTTGATTGTTTTGGGTGACTTTAATCTCCCCGATATTTCTTGGTCTCCTCCTACTGACTCACTTGTCGCTCTACCTTTATCCGTCCATGATTTTGTGGATGGCCTTTTAGAATTATCGTTACAGTAAGTAAGCTATATACGAAATTCATTAAAAAGACAATTAGATCTTGTGTTTGTTTCAGACCTGTCTGAAGTCACGGTATCTAGAATTGACGCTCTTGTTGTACCTGAAGACCGATATCATCCAACAACGGAATTTACGATTTGCCTCCCCTGCGTTGATACCCTCTCTCCTTTAGTTTCCCCAACTAAAATGATATGTTTTCGTAAATGTGACTATAATCAACTTAACGATCTGATTTCTCAAAATAATTGGACAGACTTGTACAATTGTATGGATATCGAAAGTCCCACTGAACTTTTCTATATAGTGTTAAATACTTTTTTTAATGAATGCGTTCCTGTTAGGCTTCCTTCAAGGCTAAACAGGCCTCCTTGGTTTACCAATGCGCTTCAAAGACTTAAAAACCTTAAATCAAACACTTATAAAAAGTATAAAAAATCGGGTAAGCTATCTGATATTTCGAGATATGTGGTGGCTTGATCGGGCTTTAATGTTCTCAACAGTCGTTGCTATTGTATAAATTTGAACCGTTGTAAATTTGAACTTTCAAAGGATCCGAGGCAGTTTTATAACTTTGTTAATGCCAAGCGTAATTCTTCGGCATTACCTTCACCGGTACGTTTAAACTCAAAAATGCAGACTGACGTTATAAATACAAATTCTAGTAAGGCATTTGACTCTGTCAACCACTCTCTTATCTTATTGAAATTAGATAAGCTTGGGTTTCCATGTAATCTATTAACTTGGATTTAAAGTTATTTGAATGGTAGGACTCAGAGGATTATATTCAAGAACGCTGTTTCAAAAATGATCTACGTGACATCTTGAGTGGCTCAGGGTAGTCATTTGGGCCCTTTGCCGTTTACTTCGTTTATTAACACATTTTCGTGTACTAATGTATGCTGATGATGATAAGCTTGTATATCTTACAGTCAGATATTGATTGCTTTCATGGAGGGTGTGAGTACAACCTTTTAAATTTGAACTGCCTTAAATGCAACGTTATGACTTTTCATAGGGGTACTCCTACATTTTTTTTTTTTTTTTTATTTATTTATTTATATCCTAGCGCTACAAGTGCACACTTATAATTATCGCGCTAGTCACATTGAGTTGATATTTTATATTATTATTATTTTTAAGTTATAGTTAACAATTTCTCCCGCTCTTAATTAATATTAATGACTAACATAAAATTTTCGTAGAGTCTTAGTTACAATTATTATTGTTTTTAAAATACATATATTTTTATTTTTTATTTTTGTTTTGTTTTTTTTTTGTTTTATTTCATTTTATTTAAATTTTATACTTATGTGTACTGGTATTTT